CCCCCCCCCCCCCAACAGCCCTGTTGGGGCTGGGACAGGCCTGGGCCCCAGGGAGCTGCCTCTGCCCTGGGCCCTGAGACTGAGCTGAGCTGTCACTGCAGCGCCTCAGCCTGGGCAATGGGACCCGCTTCATCAGCTTCTCATTTGTGTGCAGAGGCTGCAGCCTCCTGCCCCCAGCTCGGGCTGCTCCACCCCCAGGGTCAGGCCCAGAGCAGGAGGATTCAGTGGGGGGGCAGAGGAGGCAGGTACCAGCTTTAACCCCCAGAGGGAAACTCCCTCCCCTGCTGCAGCCTCCACCCCCCGCCCAGGGCACAAAGGGGAGGGGGCGGTGCGGGGGAAGAGCTGCCTCACCCCAGAGAGCAGGGCCTGGGCATCAGTTGCCCCCCTGAGCAGAGCAGCCGGGCTCAATGGGGGAGCCCAGCTCTGGCTTCTGGCCTGGCCGGGGGCAGGGCTCTGGGGAAGGGGATCTGGGGGTGTGTGCACTGGGAGGGGCAGCACAGGGCAGAGGCTGGTGCCCAAGGAGGGGCTGCGCTGATCAGCTGCCCCGACACAAAGTGCAGCCCCTGCCTGCAAAGCCCCCTGCCTGCAAACTGTGCCCATAGTGAGAAGTGGGGGGTCCGACCATCCCATTTCTTAAAGGGGCAGGACACGGCCCCTCGTCCTTCTGCTCCAGTGCCCCTGGGGCTCCTCACCACTCAGTGGGCAGGTTTGGGGCTCTGCCTGTCGTGGTCACTGCAGGTTTGTTTGGTGACTTGAGCTACAAACTCAGGAAGATGTTTTCAGTCTCCACTTGAAACCTCACCTGGTTTGAAAGCTCCCAGGGACTTTCCTCTTGCTCTCTCCAGTGCAGAAGGCAGAGTATCTGGTGGGGGAAGGGAGAAGGGAGGCGCAAAAACACATGATTGGAATGTTTGTATGGAAGGGTACAGCTTGCTCAGGAAGGTTAGGCAGGGAAAAAAGGGAGGAGGTGTTGCCTTATACATTAAAAATGAACACACTTGGAGTGAGGTGGAGATGGACATAGGAGACGGAAGTGTTGAGAGTCTCTGGGTCAGGCTAAAAGGGATTAAAAACAAAGGTGATGTCATGCTAGGAGTCTACTACAGGCCACCTACCCAGGTGGAAGAAGTGAATGAGGCTTTTTTTAAACAACTAACAAAATCATCCAAAGCCCAAGATTTGCTGGTGATGGGGGACTTCAACTATCCAGATATATGTTGGGAAAATAACACTGCGGAGCACAGACTATCCAATAAGTTCTTGGACTGCATTGAAGACAACTTTTTATTTCAGAAGGTTGAAAAAGCTACTGGGGTAAACTGTTCCAGATTTGATCCTAACAAATAGGGAGGGACTGGTTGAGAATTTGAAAGTGGAAGGCAGCTTGGGTGAAAGTGATCATGAAATCAGAGTTCACAATGGTAAGGAAGGGTAGAAGGGAGAATAGCAAAATAGAGACAGTGGATTTCAGGAAGGCGGATTTTGGTAAGCTCAGAGAGCTGATAGGTAAGGTCCCATGGGAATCGAGACTGAAGGGAAAAACAACTGAGGAGAGTTGGCAGTTTTTCAAAGGGACATTGTTAAGGGCCCAAAAGCAAACTATTCCGATGTGTCAGAAAGGACCACCTTGGCTTAACCACAAGATCTTGCATGATCTAAAAATAAAAAAGGAGTCATATAAAAAATGGAAAGTAGGACAAATTACAAAGGATGAATATAGGCAAACAGCACAGGAATGCAGGGGCAAGATTAGAAAGGCAAAGGC